CTTGTTACGGTGTAGTCTAAAAGAAACTAGAACAAGCATCTGCAAACAACATATATATATTCAAACACACACATCTAGGAGTAAGTACTGTAGTAATGTATCGGGAAATGACATGTAAACACAAGTGACAATAACAAATAATCTAATCATTAATGGACAACACAAGTTTTATTGAGCATGGCATACCACAAAGGTAGCCGAACACACAACTGGGCAAAAGCACTTAACAACATGATGGCAACCCACTGGATATTGAATCCAGCTATGGGCACCTGGAATAACAATCCTGTCCCATGTAGGCATACATTCAGCAGAAAAGCAACAGTGGCCAAAATTTATGCTAACAAGCACATGGATTGAAAGACAGAACATGACTATAAAACCAATACAAAAAATAACACAACATATAAATACCATAAAACAAACAACATCAACAAACTGGACAGATTTACCATCTATGCCAAGCCACTTGTTTCATGAATGGCTACCTCCCAGCTGAATATAATTGCTGAATGCTCAACAGGGGTCACAACAGCCATAACCATGTGTGCACACCCAAATATTCATAGATCCCTTGGGCCCAGGGTGAGAAACCTGCCATCAAGGAAGGCTATCCAAAGATGGCAACAAACTTTATTGAACAAATCATCATACAACAATCAATATGTATAGTACAACAAGTACACATATGGCCATAAAATCATCAAACATAATATCTATAAGTATTGGCCAAAAATTTCTTACCAAAATTAGGAAAACGATACAAAAAACTTGTAGTTGGGAAAAGCTGGTAAATTCCTGTGCATGACAATTAACGTAAAAGCGAGAGAGCCTTCAAGATCGCCCCTCGATAGCTTTTATATAAGCTAAACTGTCCGTGGGGGTTAGCGTGCAACCCATCTAAGGACATCAAATTTTTTTCAGCTCTACAAAATGCACGATGTTCCCACAAGAAAACACAAGGCTTATTGTCCAGTACCACAGATAAATACTGTCTCAAAAGTGCCGCCTTAGTGTTGTGAATGCGGTAAATAACTGACACACGGCGACACAACGCTAACATGCAAATTATCCCGTAACAGTGCAACTACGCCTTCGTGTCCGAATGGTGACTCGCAATTAACGGCGAACAAACGAACGGCCAAAAACTAAAATCTGTGGTATTGAGCCATTCATATTGAAATATACTATAAACAAGCGGTACAATACCTTTATGCAGAAAGGAAAAGTTGTGAGGAGCACTTGAGAACTTGTCTTGTGAAGCCAAAGGTGAATGACCTTGAGCTGTTAACCCTAACGTTCATCAACGCCTTAGTATTTAGCAAACTGTACTACTGTTCCTCGCTTTGGTCAAATACTTCCTGCAGCAACCTATCCCGACTTCAAGGAGTCCAGAACTTTGCAGCACGAGAAGTGAGCAACAGAAGGAAATTTGACCACATCACCCCGATACTGAAGGAACTGCGCTGGTTTCCCGTGAAGTCACATCTGTACAGTCGCGATGCTTTATTAGCTTTCAAATGCATGAACGATTGCGCCCCTGCCTACTTATCGTCCCAGTTCAAAACGAGAAGTGAAGTGAGTGGTCGCGATACAAGAAATACTAAACAGCTGGACGTTCCGTTATACAGATCAACTGCAGGACAAAGAACATTCCATTACAGAATTGTCACTCTCTGGAACAACATTAACCCTGACTTAAAACTTTGCAAATCTATTCCAAGCTTTAAAATTAAACTGAAACGGGAACTGCTTCAGCAATTTCTAGATAGTTAGCCTAAGGGCATGTTTTTCTGTTGTCGTTGTCGTTGTTATTGTCGTTGATGTTGTTGTTGTTGTTGTTGTTTTTGCTGTCGTTGTTGATGATGTTGATGTATGTTGTATGCTGCTGTTGTTAATCTTGTTATCAAGAATTTGATGTCTTGTTTGTGTATAAAGTAATTGCGTGATCTTATTATATGAATTTAGGATCTGATGTATAATTATGGTAATTAATTGATATGAATATATATTTTTGTCACTGAAAAGCCCCTTTAGGGGAGTGTCAATAAAGTCAATCAATCAATCAACTTCGTGCAAGGACTGGAAAACCGCCTTAATGAGGACGGTACAACAAGCGTTGGACCCGATCAGTACTTAAGCTAGGCAATCCCACTTGTTAGACAGACTCGAAGGTTGCGCTATGTTGGATAAAAAATGCTGAAAGAGATTGGAAGCAATTTGTTTAAAACCGCGTAAATTAGATTCAATCACTTATTCCATGTGAATTCTGGAGACACTGTCCTGGTAAAGAAAATCCTACCAACATGCCATCACGAGGTATTAACCCAGTTGAGCTGCGCGATTATCAACCGTGTTCCAATGGACCTCAGTGGATCCTAGGAGAATGTGGGCAACAGGAACAAGCAAAGGAGTTTGAGAACATTCGAAGCGAATGCCTCGTGGAAGCCAAGAAATAATGTCGTGTTGATGATTCGTACCCAACTACAGCAGTGGCGAGTGTACAAACGGATAGAAACATTGAGTCGAGGACTGTCGAGGTTCAGCAGCTATAACAAGCTATTGAGAGTTACAGCACTTGTTGGAAAGGCAATCAACATTTTCAAACACGGGACGAAGAAATAAGGAGCCAAACCTCCAGTGATTAGCGCCGAAGATTTGCAAGACGCTGAAGCACTGTGGTTATTGGCAATGCAAAGGAATCTGCAACTCGAGTCAAGGTATAAATAGTGGGAAAACCAGTTCAGGTTGACTTGTATAAGGACAAAGTAGGGATACTCCGATGTAAGGGAAGAATTCAGAAGGTAGATACAGTATTCCAAAGGAGGCAAGTCGTCCAGTTCTATTGGTGTCAAACACCCTTTGACAGAGTTAATTATTGAGGAGTGCCACGGACGCGTCCATCATGGAGGAGTAAAGGAGACCTGAACTGAACTACGAGCGAAATTATGGCTAGTCAAGGGACGGTAGAGTGTGAGAAAATTGTTGACAAATGTGTCCTTTGTCGAAAGGTTGATGGGAAATCGTATCAAGCCCCAATATCCCCACCTCTTCCCGAATTTAAAGTACAAAGAAACCAACCATTTTCTTTAGTCGCAGTTGACTTTGCAGGATTCCTATACGTAAAGACATCTAGTGGAAATGAGAAAGGAATGGTAAAGACATGGATATCACTGTATAGCCTGTATACGTGTTGTTCAACCAGAGTAGTCCATCTTGATCTTGTACCAAACATGAGTAACGAAGCATTCATTCCTAACTTCAGACGATTTGTAGCCAGAAGAGGAAAACCTTGCATGTAAGGTAATTTCCAATAACGCCAAGACATTTGTTTTGTCCGCAAAAAAACCGTCAGCACTGTTCGGGATACCAGAGCTCACCGATCATCTTGCAACAAAGGGAGTCGAATGGTCGTTCAACTTGCAGAAAGCGCCATGGTGGAGCGGGGTTTTTTAACGCCTAATTGTGTCAACAAAGCGATGTTTGAAGAAAATCTTGGGAAAACGCCAGACTGGAGGGATGAATATCTCTTAGAATTGAGAGAATCGCATAGACAAGGAATGAGAATAATAGCGGAAGGAGATATTGTTCTTGTACACGAAGATGATAAACGGAGAAACAACTGGAAACTTGGCAAGGTGGACATTCTTATACCAGGCAAGGACGGGGAAATAAGAGGAGCTAATGTGACAGTATCAAGCAGTGTATTGAATCCATCAATGATAAGACGTCCAGTTCAAAAATTATATCCAGTCGAGGTTAGCGGGTTTGTCAAAGGTGAAGAAGCGGTAGCAGAAGAAGATGACAGAGAAGGACGACATATTGAAAATACGACCAAGGAGAACACCAGCAGCTAAGGCCGACGAAAGAAAAAGAGAGTGGATCGAGGACAAATCTATTGAGTAATTTAGAACATTCTTATACTTACATGTTAATATTGAGTTATTGTTAATCGAACAGGTCGATCACCGGAGAATTTTACGGAATTTGCGTCATTTACACGCGGGACTCTCTCGCGAGTCCTGAACAATGAAATGATGCGCCCCTAATATAAGAACCGAACACGTTGTTTTCTGTAATTTGCTATCGTACTTTGTTATGTAAATTTATTAAAATATTCGTTAAAATTGTGGTGTATCGAAGTATGATAATAGGTCTAACCAACGAGAGAAATATTCTACATCCACTCTGAATTTGACTATTGAGATTTTGAAACGAAATTTCATGCTGCACTTATTGTTTTCCAAATTATGGACTGGATAGAACTTCATTCATTCCTTTAGCACTCTATCAAATATACTCTGGACACTTGGTAGAGTATATTGATCCAGTCTTAGCCTTAGGATTAGATCAGAATTAATAGACGATTCCCCTTATTACGTTTTCGTAGCGCTTTGCATTGTGGTTATAGTGGTATCACTTATATTGAAGATGGCTTATTTGTTGTTCTGACCCGTGTAAGAACTTTTAAAAAAAGCTAGGGTCAGGTGCACAATATCCAACAGCAAAATATTCGCGAAAACATTCAATATTTTTATTCGAGGCCGCTATCTTTATCAGTGATACCACTATAACCACAATGCAAAGCGCTACGAAAACGTAATAAGGGCAATCATCTATTCGGTCATCAGTTATAGGACTGGATGAAAATTAATTCAGTTCTGTATCAAAACTCACTTCCCTTCAAGCTTAAGTCAAGTCAAGTGGAACAAAACTACTAATTTTACGGATTTGAAACATGACTTCATATATAGGGTTTCAAATTTATCATGTGGCTCTAACAAGCAATATGGTTGGCTCGTGACGTGTTAATTCTTTATTCATTTAATTTAACATTATTCTCCCGTTGTTCGTATATGATGCGCAGGTTTATATATATTACATTGAAACCACTAACATTTTTCTCGTGAAAAAAGTTATAGACTGCGTCAAATGGTAAGCTTCAACACTTTATATGTATGCAATGCATGCTGGCTTGGTTGTTTCAGCGACTAAATTCATGACAATTCTTATTTCAAGGTGATTTAGGTTCCCAAAGCAAAGGTGTATATACAACTTTACTAAAGTCAAAATTAATTTTGATTGCTTCTTTTGTATGCTAATGCTGGATGCATCTGGCAATATTTCAATAAAATTGTACTTTTAGTTTTACAATAATTTAGTTTTAATATTTTGACTTGCGTTGCCTTATTTATTTTTAAAATTTTCCAGTGTCACTGTGAAGGGCACAATCAAATAGTTTGGAAACGAGCATTGAATTGTTGTTAAGGAAACCAAAGATCATTTATTAATAATTTATTTTTATATTAAAATGTAAACTGCGTATAGTTGTGATATTGCAAGTGTCATCATGACTGATAATTTGATATAAAATTTTCAACACAAACGAATTATTTGTAGGAATGTAGCTACGCAATTTCATTTCCTGCATTTGAATTGACAAAGACACATTACTTGGTTTACTCAAGATATAAATTGCGAGACAAAGACGGGCGAATTATTGACGAAATAAACCTTTTTTAAATTAAAATTCAAACATAAAATTAATTGTTTCCAGAGAAATGAAATGATCAGTCAAATATCCACTTGACCATATAAAACTTTGATCACAGCTTTCCTCTTTCTCGATTGTTTGGTGCCTAAATGAATACATAGTTTTTTTTATTTAACGTTATTGATTGCGAAGTTCCATGCGTGTCGTGAATAAATAAAGTGTCGAATTATTTCTCTGACTAAGCCAATCTTTTCATTAGACTAAATACTTGACGCTAACAAGAAAAACGTGTCTGAGAGATTAATTGTCGTGTCGAAGATGCTTTGGATCATCCTTGCTTTGTTGTTGAAGGTAGGTTTTCATGTTTATCTATTTCGTGCTTTAAAAATATCTAACTGAATGTATTAATAGATTGGAAAAGATAAAACCCGGCTGAAGTCAAAAAGTAATGTTGAAATATCAATCTTTAGGTAGGAACTTAGGAGTGTAATAAAATCATGAAGCATTCCGCGCGAGCAAGTCATCACCAAAGAAACCTCAACAATTCATATATACCAAAAAACCTTGAAATATTCCAAAAATTAGTTTCAAATACTGAAACGAAGAAATGTAAAAGATACATGAAGTAACAACGTCCGTTCCTTGTTATGTAACTATTAATAATCCAAGCCATTATATATGTGAAAAACACCGAAAATTCAACAAATTAAAATCACTGTGTCTGTGGGAGAACGGCTCGGGAAAAATTGTTTGTATCAATCTAAGCCGAATAAGCCTAAGGGTGTATTTTATTCTGAAATTGTCTGGAAAAGATTTTGCATATCCCAATTCAATCCAATGCATATATCTCAATTCAAATATATTGATTCCCAATGTGTTACTATAAATACATAAAGTACGCCATATATAGGTGCATGTATAATTTCAAAGTCGGTCAACTCAAAGACAAAGTGATGAGAGCAATGATTTGGAAGAGTTTCCTTTGTTGAAGGAATTGCTCTAGTTATTTGCCACTGCAGGGGACTGCATAATTACTATTAGTTTCAATATTTAAGGCTGGATGAATCAACAAATTTGTTCCGAGGCTCCTGCATGAACATATTCAAAACTTTGCTTGATCCAGCGTTTTGTGTGGACGTATATGAATAACTGTAGATTGATAAGGCTTGAAATGTTGCTGCCCCAAACTACCAAATACAAAGTCATCTTTAAATTAAAGAAATAAAAATTTTTATTTCGTCATTAAATTTGCATGCATGGATCGCTGAAACTCAGTGAAAGTAAAAAGTACAACCGTTGTTTATGGTATAAAAAGAAGATCGCGCGGTTACAGCCTCATGTGGTTCCAGTGCATATATAGAGAATAAATTGAATAATACATGGCCATGGGTGCGCGGAAATACCAGATTTATTTCGAGTGTTGAATATGATATATCTTCAACACGAGAAATAAATCTGGTATTTCCAAGCACCCATGTATTTTTCTGTTTATTATATAAACAAAATTCAGTGAAAAACAATCAAACGTCCGTGGCAATGCGTTTTACAACAAATGATATTTTCACACGTAAAAATATCGTATTTTTTACGTCGGTGTTTAATTAAATACGATTTTTCTCAGTGGCCAAAAACTCTATATAACACTTATGTTTATATAATAAATAGTCTTATAGATAGTGATATACTGAAACAAAATACTTGGGCTACTTGAGGGATTACCGATCAAACTACCTGAAAAAAACACAACTGGACGTTATAGTGATTCACTAAGCAGTCCAAGGACTTTATACGAACGCTAAGGACGGCAAACTCCTTCAATTAAATACTTTTAAGGAAAAGTTGTCTTGTATTATCCGTCGTATGAATTTAATTCAGTTTAAGACAGCCTGTGAGAGGTTTACAGTTAACTGAGGATTTCTAAGCCAATTTACCAAGTGCCCTGATGCAATTCTCGCGGCTTAAAACGCAGGTGAGACCTCTAAAACTCCCGAGCGACTTTTATTTTTTCATTTTTTTCTACACTATCATAATTTTCATTGCATTAATAAAATAATAGTCGTCGCAGTCCTCCTAGCTAAAGTTAATGACTCTGCTCTTCTCTCAAAACGTCGATCATTTCTCAGTAATTTTAAAACTATATACACAATGAGATTTGAGGTTACAGGTATCTATGTATTTTACTTTGTTTTCATACTTTGTGTAAATCATTGTTTTATAAATTCATTAGTGGATCATTCTTTGACTTTGTTCTGAAGATCGCGAGAGTATTTCAATTATTGCATTAACAAAATCAAAAGGAACAAAGTTAAACAAGCAAATATCCAATATTCTTTGAAATATGTGCATACTTAAACCATAAAACACGAAGTATTAATTGTTTACTCAAGTTTTATAATCCTTCCATTCAGCCATCTCTGTTTGAACACCTGTCACTAACTGTTAGCAAGCGCCGGGTTCACTCCAAAAGGCGTCATGTTTTATATAAAGAAAATCAATAAGCGGGCCAGACCGGCAGAGGCTTATCTTGTTATATCAATTTGCTTATATGAATAAGTTATAATTAGTACAGCCGGCAAATGCTATAGCCTATACCAATAGAAAAGTTGAATAAAACGCTAAGAATGAAACCACAAAAATATATTTTGATCGATTGATAACCATCTACAATGTTCCTTTGCAGAGTGCGTCCAAGTTTAGTCGTCTCGTATTTATACTAGACGAATTAAACGTCTATGGCCTGTTTCAAACGTCGCGCTTCTCATGTGCATTAGAAACAATATACATAATGAAGCATTTCAGCTGATTATCTATTGTTTTTAATGTGTTCGGTAGTTTCGGCAAATTTACCATTTAGGGCGGAATTTTTGAACAATTATTACTTGTTGGAAAAGCAAATAGTATGTGAGTTATATAGAAAATACTACCTCCGGAAGAGTATAAAAAGTTTAGCAAACATGTCGTCACTGCCGTCGCTATGCGGGAAATGGTCACGTTTCAATAGTGACCGATTTTTGGCTTTAAATACTCAAAAAAGACAACGGTTACTTCCATTTTTAATTTTGTTAAACGTTTTCAATTAGCGAAAATAATTACTTAGCCAACTTTTTAAAAAAATCGTCAGTGTAGAAATTTTAAAAAAACCCGTTTTATTAAATTTTAAAAAACTACGTACACTGTCACTGGCGATATTTTTTAAAATTGCCTAAATAATTATTTCCACTAATTGAAAACGTTTAACAAAATAAAAAATGGAGGTCACCGTTCTTTTTGGTTAAATGATTAGTTTAAAGCCAAACGTAGTTATGGTTACAATAAAAACAGCAGTAGTATACGGGACGTTATTTTTGATAAATTCCATAGCTCAGGTACTATTTGCTTTTCGACAAGCACAGTAATCGTTCAGAGCAGTACATAGAACAGTAGGAAGCCACCTTAAAACCTGATTCAAACGCCGCGTTCTGCACGTGTCGAATACATTATATTCGAATACATTATATTTATTACATAGATTATATTCTGCATTATATTCGAGCGAACTACATGCAAAATTCTACGCCTGTTTCACACGACGAATTTTACATACACCGAATTCAATTCGGCTTGAGCGTTGCCTGGAATGATGTAAACTTGAGACATATAAGAATCTCGTTTATACAGTGTCGAATTGATTGATAATTTACTGGACTTTCTCTAAAGTGAACGATGAGCAGGGTTGTGGAAAGGGGGAGGGGCTCATCGGCCCTTGTTAAAAATTTCATGTCGATTAATGGAATTGCTTGTTAGGTTTGTGTGTGCCTAGTCTGTCTTTGCGAATATGCAGTGACATTCACATGCATTGCATATTCTTAGGTGAATATTCTTGGAGTCGAAGGACAAGAAGATTTTGCCCAAGCATTCGAGAAGCTAAGAAAAGAGTGTTTCCGTGATCCAAAGAATCGGTTAACTCCTGAAATATATTCTGGTGGGATAAACTTTTTTTATTAATTGTTATTAGGGACCGTTCATTTGTTATGGGCATGGGGGCTGAGGGGGGGGGATTTGAGGGAGGGCAACCCCAAAAATTCAAAAAACAAGGGTGGTCAACTTGTTAACAGTATTACCCTGTTCCCATACTGTTATAGAGGGTTATAATACATGTATAACTATCTAAGAAAAGTAGTCATCATATAATTGAAAATTGTTCCAATTCAATAATAAAAAAGGTATTAACAACAACTGCTGACTGTTTTCTATTCTATATCTTTCTATTTTATATATTCCACCCTATATCTTTGTCATTCTCTCTGTCTACCGACTCTTTCTCATTGTCGTCTTCCTGCTCTTCCTGTCCATTGACCCACTCCATATCTTCATCATTCTCTTTGTCTATCGACTCTTTATCATTGTCGTCTTCCTGCTCTTCCTGTCCATCAACCAACTCCATATCTTCATCATTCTCTGTTTATTACTGTTGTCTTTCTGCTCTTTCTGTCCATTAACCAACTCTATATCTTCATCAATCTCTCTGTCTACCGACTCTTTATCATTGTCATCTTCCTGCTCTTCCTGTCCATTGACCCACTCCATATCTTCATCACTCACTACCGATTCTTTATCATTGTTGTCTTCCTGCTCTTCCTGTCCATTAACCAACTCTATATCTTCGTCATTCTTTCCATCTACCGACTCTTTATTATTGTCATCTTCCTGCTCTTCCTGTCCATTAACCAACTCTATATCTTCGTCATTCTTTCCATCTACCGACTCTTTATCATTATCGTCTTCCTGTCCATCAACCCACCCCATTTCTTCAACATTTTCTCTGTCTACCGACTCTTTATCATTGTCGTCTTCCTGTCCATCAACCCACTTCATTTCTTCATCATTTTCTCTGTCTACCGACTCTTTCTCATTGTCAACAAGGGCAGATTTCGTGCTCGACCAATCAGCTCATTTGTTTACATTTTCGCTCTCAGCTAGTCATAATGCAGGAAACGCGAAATTTACACCAAGGCGAACTAGAAAATATTGCCGTCTTCTCTGGCTTCCGTGACATTCAATTTTAACTTTTTTAATATAAAAGCAAAAGATTATGATATATAGCATATTAAAATAAAAAACTTTGCCGTGGGGATTTTTAAATTTTCGACCTAGGACGGAAAATATCCATGTTTGAAATTTTTCTCTATGTCGCGTATACAAATTTGAGTAATCTAATTTGACTGCAATAAAACTAAAAATTGCTACATTTTCTCTGCTTTACGTTTTTGTCGGAAAAGTCTTCCGCTCTTGTTGAAAATCGTTTTGGTCAATGTATTATTTCATAACCTAGAATATAACGCGTTTAGAGAGTCTGATTTTCTGCAAGATCGGTCGGACAATATTTTTGTATTGATTGCCCGTATGATAGCGAGCATGCGACTATATTTTTTTAAATCAGGCGCTATAAACGCGTTATCGTCTAGGTTTTGAAATAAAACATTGACCAAAACAATTTGCAACAAGAGCGAAAAAGAGGTTTCCAACAAAAACGTAAAAGCAGAGAAAATATAGCAATTTTTAGTTTTATTGCAATCAAATTAGATTACTCAAATTTGTATACGCGACATAGGGAAAAATTTCAAACATGGATATTTCCGTTCTAGGTCGAAATTTAAAAATCCCCACGGCAAAGTTTTAGATTTTAATGTGCCATATCATAATCTTTTGCTTTTAAATTAAAAAAAGTTAAAATTGAATGTCACGGAAGCCCGAGAAGACGGCAATATTTTCTAGTTCGCCTTGGTGTAAATTTTGCGTTTCCTGCATTACGATTAGCCGAGAGCGAAAATGTAAACAAATGTGCTGATTGGTCGAGCACGAAATCTGCCCTTGTTCTCATTGTATATCTTCATCATTCTCCCTGTCTACCGACTCTTTATCATTGTCGTCCTCCTGTCCATCGACCCGCTCTATATCTTCATCATTCACTGCCGACTCTTTATCATTGTCGTCTTCCTGTCCATCAACTAATTCCGTATCTTCATCATTCTTTCTGTCTACCAACTCTTTATCATTGTTGTCTTCCTGTCCATCAACTAATTCCATATCTTCATCATTCTTTCTGTCTACCAACTCTTTATCATTGTTGTCTTCCTGTCCATCAACTAATTCCATATCTTCATCATTCTCTCTGTCTACCAACTCTTTATCATTGTTGTCTTCCTGCTCTTCCTGTTCATCAACTAATTCCATATCTTCATCATTCTCTCTGTCTACCAACTCTTTATCATTGTTGTCTTCCTGCTCTTCCAGTCCATCAACTAATTCCATATCTTCATCATTCTCTCTGTCTACCGACTCTTTATCATTGTTGTCTTCCTGTCCATCAACTAATTCCATATCTTCATCATTCTCTCTGTCTACCAACTCTTTATCATTGTTGTCTTCCTGCTCTTCCAGTCCATCAACTAATTCCATATCTTCATCATTCTTTCTGTCTACCGACTCGTTATCATTGTCGTCTTCCTGCTCTTCCTGTTCATCAACTAATTCCATATCTTCATCATTCTTTCTGTCTACCGACTCTTTATCATTGTCGTCTTCCTGCTCTTCCAGTCCATCAACTAATTCCATATCTTCATCATTCTTTCTGTCTACCGACTCTTTATCATTGTTGTCTTCTGCTCTTCCTGTTCATCAACTAATTCCATATCTTCATCATTCTCTCTGTCTACCAACTCTTTATCATTGTTGTCTTCTGCTCTTCCTGTTCATCAACTAATTCCATATCTTCATCATTCTTTCTGTGTACCGACTCTTTATCATTGTCGTCTTCCTGCTCTTCCTGTCCATCAACTAATTCCATATCTTCATCATTCTTTCTGTCTACCGACTCTTTATCATTGTTGTCTTCTGCTCTTCCTATTCATCAACTAATTCCATACCTTCATCATTCTTTCTGTCTACCGACTCTTTATCATTGTTGTCTTCTGCTCTTCCTGTTTATCAACTAATTCCATATCTTCATCATTCTTTCTGTGTACCGACTCTTTATCATTGTTGTCTTCCTGCTCTTCCTGTCCATCAACTAATTCCATATCTTCATCATTCTCTCTGTCTACCAACTCTTTATCATTGTTGTCTTCTGCTCTTCCTGTTCATCAACTAATTCCATATCTTCATCATTCTTTCTGTCTACCGACTCTTTATCATTGTTGTCTTCCTGTTCATCAACTAATTCCATATCTTCATCATTCTTTCTGTCTACCAACTCTTTATCATTGTTGTCTTCTGCTCTTCCTGTTCATCAACTAATTCCATATCTTCATCATTCTCTCTGTCTACCAACTCTTTATCATTGTTGTCTTCTGCTCTTCCTGTTCATCAACTAATTCCATATCTTCATCATTCTTTCTGTCTACCAACTCTTTATCATTGTTGTCTTCTGCTCTTCCTGTTCATCAACTAATTCCATATCTTCATCATTCTCTCTGTCTACCAACTCTTTATCATTGTTGTCTTCTGCTCTTCCTGTTCATCAACTAATTCCATATCTTCATCATTCTTTCTGTCTACCGACTCTTTATCATTGTTGTCTTCTGCTCTTCCTGTCCATCAACTAATTCCATATCTTCATCATTTTTTCTGTCTACCGACTCTTTATCATTGTCGTCTTCCTGCTCTTCCTGTTCATCGACCCACTCTATCTGGACTGAGAGGGACTTGGAACCCAACTTTGTCTCCTTATTCCTTTTTTGACCAAACCGGTAAAGAAATTTTGCTTTCTTTATTTTAGGCAAAACAAGATGCGGTGTAGCTTTTTTTGCAATGTGTTGGCCAGCGACTCTCGCTAATCGTACTGTTTATCTTCCATGTCCATCACTTTTCTTTGACCATTTGTCGGGTAAGTCGTAATTTCCTTGTTGGCGCATGCGCATAGCTGTAAATATATTGTGTTTTGTTTACTGCTATTGGCTAGTACTGCTATATCGTTGTGAAAGAACATCTTCCCTAGAACTAGGATAATAAATATGTATCACGGTAGAGGCTAATGTTTTAATACATAAACTTTAGCTTTCATTTTCTCGGCTTGGACAACGTTGATTTTTAAAAGTACTTCGCCAATGAACTCGTATAAGATGGATCGTTTTTTAAGCCATTTAAAACAATCACGATCCATGCTTTATCAGACATAAGACACTCGCCTGTCGCCTGTTTTATATCTGATAAAGCACTCCTGCTCGTGTTTTAAATAGTACACAGTATATTAGCTGCTGCTCCATTTCTACTCCCGATTATTTAGGTTTTATATAATTGTTCCAGGTAACATCTCGAGGAGGTGTAATGAATCAGGTGAATGGGGGAAAGCAGATATTTCATTTTGCAGGAAACATTCTGTTCCTTTGGTATGATTATTATAATTTTATTCAAGTTGTTATAAAAGTAATTCATAAGAAAAAAGGTTCTCAGAGTATATCTATATAATGCATTTGTGTATGTAAGAATCGAAAAATGACATGCGGAAGTTTACGGTGAAATTATTTTTTATTTCATTATTTTTTTTTATTTATTGCTTGTAGCAGACATTAAATAATTTATTAAATCATCTGTGAAATACATAACATTTCACTGCAGTTATGTTTATTAATTCATCATTTCACAGTTATGTTTATTAATTCATCATTTCACAGTTATGTTTAATCATTTCACAGTTATGTTTATTAATTCATCATTTCACAGTTATGTTTATTAAATCATCTGTCACCGTTGAAATGAATATAACTGGAACACTACCTCAGTGAACTCTATATATATATATATATATATATATATATATATATATATATATATATATATATATATATATATATATATATATATATATATATATAAAAATAGTTTGTGTAGGGTTATAAAAACCAATGATAGAGTGCTCAATGGATAACCAGAGCATAATAGAAAGACACAAAAACTTAGCAAGCTTTGTTTGGCATATTTATTACTGGTACGAAACTGTATAGTAATAAATATGCCAAACAAAGCTTGCTTGTGTCTTTCTATATATATATATATATATATATATATATATATATATATATATATATATATATATATATATATATATATATATATATATATATATATATATATATATATATATATATATATATATATGTATATATATATGTTTTGAAGCCAAACTTAAAGGCCTGTCCCACTCTTTTCACGCATGCGAAGAGCGCTCAATTAGTTAATCATGATATAAACACGCGTGTTTGGGAGCTCTGGGAGTCAAATTTGGCTTCATGAAAAATATAGGCAGTTTATCTGAAGGCGTTCCAGTTATATTCATTTCGATGTCTGTCACAGACACATAATCACAAATGACAGGCGAAAGAAACAGGACTATTATAAATTTATCAATTGAAATTCCACCCCCACATGAATATATGACTTTATATTTACAATAATGGGGAATCTGTACAATTGCACAGTTATGTATTTCATTATTTGACAATTTACAATTCAATTCTTTATTTAGCCAAGTGAAGAGGAAGATGTACAACAACGTGTTTATGTTGTTTTAAGCTGGTTTTCTTTTTCAATCATGATTCCGTCGTTAATCGTAACCGTCTATATACTGTAAGTCAGTCGAAAATGTTTGTTTCGTGTATCGAAGAAACCATGTTTCCACCACGACAAAAACTTCGTGAAAGTGCTGTGATACCACTTTATGACATCTCGAGCTGTGATCTATAACTAATACCTTCTTGTTTCAGAAAGGGGAAGAATGAACGATTCAACGTTCATACAAATCTTATCCTCGCATTTACGTTACGAATAACTACATTTTTTATTCATCATTATGAAAATCTTGGCTCCTCAGACACCTCACGGGTAGGTTGTAGTTAGGCGTACGGAAGGGGAAAACTAGAGGGCGGCCGAAAATTTACCCGACGTTCGTGAAATCGCCCGTCCAAAAAAATGTATTGTTGTTGTTGTTGTTGTTGTTGTTGTTGTTGTTGTTGTTGTTGTTGTTGTTGTTGTTGTTGTTGTTGTTGTTGTTGTTGTTGTTGTTGTTGTTGTTGTTGTTGCAAAAATGTTCGAAGCATGCGTTAAGACATTTCTTGCGCATCAATAAATACGAATTATCTATTGCCAGATAGTTTGTTTAATTTACCGCATTAATGGGCAAGACTCTCTCCCTATAGACATCGTTTCAAGGCCCTTCCGCTTCTTTCTTCGAGACGAGGACACAGAATAGAGATCTTACAGAAGGCCGATGCAGCCAAAAAAGCACGCCATGATTTGCAATGATTCGTTATCATAATGCACTCGCCATGTTCCTAGTTACTGCGCTTACGAGAGACATTCACCACCACCACCCCGATTGATCGTCCACCATTTTGAATATTTGGTTATGCCATGATCATAGACAAAATCAAGAAGTCTGCCTTCTGTAAGGTTCCTATTCTGTGACGAGGGGCCTTTGCTCGAAACGTCAAACTTCTTGTTCTGTTTTTGATGATGAATGTGGTTTGATCGATGGTGTATTGACGTGTCGTAACTGTCGTTGCATGTTTACATTTGTAGGTTTCCTGTAATCTCGTTTGGATCTTAAACCGTTATTTTGCATCGACGGAAATCATGTGGATGTTGAATGAAGCTTTACTCCTGTTGAGGAAAGTTGTTATAATATTTGATAAGAAAAGCTACTTCAAATATTATTTGCTTATTGGATGGGGTACGGTATCAGTTATTATTTTTTCTTTAATTTCTCTGCGGTTGCACGTCTTCTGAAGTTCTCAGAGGAAATCGTGATGCAACGAGAATGATGAGGACGAGTTTTCATCTCACTTATAATGTGATCTTTTTTATTGTTTCATTGCTAGGATCTCCTGTGGCATTTTTGGCTGCATATATTCCAACTATGGTCTATGTCGTTGATCTTCCACCCAAGAAGTATGTCTTTCAATCGTTCAAGAAAATGTTAATAATTCACCGATTTTCTTTTTAATTAACATCTACATTTAATTAGCATCTACATTCGATATAACTAATTGTAGATCAGTGGTGGTCTTATGGAGAGGGGGGGGTGCAACAGGGTTGCAAGGGGGGGTGCAAAAAATTAATCTTAAATGTTATTAAATTATCTCTTAAATGTTCGAGGTATTGAAAGTTTTTATCAGTAAGACAATAAAGCAGCACCATAGCACCAGTTCAAAATACTAATAAGTCCAATATTAATTAGTTTGATACTTTGATCGAAAAAAGAAAATTCTTAATTTTGCTGGAAACGTCTAACATTACAAGTATTTGATAATGAAGAGAATCTGGGATTTATATTATATATAATTATTAAATTATATTTATTCAACATGGTGCACTTTGATGACAGTACACTGTATATTATGGTAGACTTGATTTGTCAATAAGCTTATGAATTATTAATGAGTGTTTGAATAAATGTATAAAATTCAAACTTGATATTTCCATCTGTAAAACCCGTCTGCGTTTTGATATACTAAACATTTTACATCGGTGATAATCTACAGCGTTTGCATACAAGCTTTTGTTTGTACATTTCAGGTGTTGGGCACATTACAAGGACTCAATTTATATGTTGGTGTTGTACGTGCCTCTGGTTATAATTTTAATTGTAAGTTTATATTAATTATCGTATTAATTATTTTTGTGCAAATTGTTAAGCCTGGTTGTAAACACGGAGTCACTTCCCTCAAACATTTCTTACAAACCCTTCAAAACTTATAGAATTTACCTATGCAAAATCAATCTCGTACCCAGAGTATGCCCGTTCGCAGGTTAGGTGCCCAATTCCTTGATGCAAAATTCCTACTGTGATCACAGATGGATAAAAAAATAAAAAATAAAATTGGATAAATAACTAATAATATTAATTTCTGGTTTCCTCAATGGATATCTTTCATCCCTCCCCTGCATTGTCGAAGAACGTTGTATTTATGTAACTGCAATATTATTCATTACAATTATTAGTATTCATTTATCACAAGCTTTCGGCCACCTTAGTTACTGTGGCCTTTAACAGGTATAACAATGATTATAGATAACATTTGTAATCATTGTTATACCATGCCACTTGAAGGCCACAGTAAGGTGGCCGAAAGCTTGTGATAAATGAATACAGAGAACATCTCTGTGACTCTGTATATAATTAATTGTGTCTATTTCTGGCCGCGCTTCATCCGTTTCATTTCATGAAACTTGCGTTTTGTAGATAGATTTTATTGCGCTGATTTACACCGTCTCCATTTTTGTAAGAAGACAGAACGGACAACAGAAAGGCGACTTTATAAAAATAAGGTAATGAGAGTTGTTTATCCAAACAATGAGGGTCAAAGGTTTCATGTTCAACCCATATTTTTTATTTGATTCACGTTACTTTAAAACAAAACCAAAAAGTTGATCTGTAGGCGTTGCTGTCCAGTTTACAGCAACAGACATCATACACTATACGCGAACAGGACGACACTAGCTTCTAGCTAGCTTGGTGGCGTTGGACATTAGGGACTGGTCATTATTTATGGTGGGGGGCTGGCACCGAAGAGAAATGGTTTCTTGATAAAAATGTCGTTGATCCAACCATTAAAAAGTCAAACATATTTTCACCCAGCCTCAAATATCAATTACAAACTAAATATTCATCCCGGGCCAAAAAATTCACAAAAGGATACCATTCAGTTGTCACACAATCTTTACCACTTCTGTGACATGAGTTTGATAATTGCTTTGTGCAATTTTCTACAGTCTACAAGGTGTCACGTTGTTTGCTAAAGTGTCACGTCAGAGGTATCACGTTGTCTGCAGATGTACTTTCTTTGGAGACACCATTTGCGAAAAATGATCGAAAATCGAAAAATGATCAAAATAGTGACTCTGATTGATTGATTGATTGATTTACATATTGTATTGACACATGACTATTGACATTGCTTTTTAGTCTTCAATATTTGAGTGAGTCATGCTTTGGAAATGATAATAAATTTTCACTGCCCAACCCTTAAGTTATTTTGTTTTTAATTTACCCAACCTTTCACTCAAACACGAATTTTGTTTACCCAACCCTTTTCTCTTCGGCGCCATAAATAATAACCGGTCCCTTGTGTATTTGAAAAGAAATGCAAGATAAGTTTAGTCTTCATCAAGGCTCTAATTAGCTTACAGCCTCGGGCTGCAAGCTGGCTAGGGCTCTACCATAATGCCAGAAGCAAATTTATTTTCCCAATCTTATAGCCGAAATGCATATAATTAAAAAATCTACCACTATAGTAAAAGGCAGCATATATTTTCCAGGTCAGTGTGACAGGTTCTTACATATTTGATCAGAGTATTAAATTGGCCCTAATGTCTGCACTCTATAAAAATCAGACACAAGTACATACGGGTTTTCGTTAAAATGGGTGTCTAAATGGCAGGTATCAGGCTGTAGGTTCTTAATCTGCTAGATTCTTATTTTTTATGCGGGATTTTATTTATATTCGTCCTTCGGATTCGTCCAATTTTTATCGTCTTTGAAAAACTCACTCGTTTATGGAACCGCACTCGAAACCATACTATTACCTACCGTAAACCTCTGACTATCTTATATTCTTTCGTAAGCTATTTTTGATGGGCTTATACAAGGAGGGGGGGGTGGGGCTTATATACGGGGGGCTTATACATGGACGATCTTTTGTGTTAGTAATAAACAAGTCAGTCATAAACAGGAAAAATAAACATGTATTAATAACGCGCTTTGATTAACATAGTTATAAAAACAGTTACAAAGACAAGAAAAAGTTATAAAGACACTGATGACAATGTTTTTAAATATCTTTTTCTTTAAAAGACAGTGTCAATGTTGAATAACGTATTGCAGTGGGCTACTGGGCTTATATTCGGGGACTTATATTCGGAGGGGCTTATATTCTGGGGGGGGGGCTTATATTTGGAATGAGGTGAGCGTTAGTACATGTGGTGGGCTTATACACGGGGGGGGGGCTTATATTCGGAGGTTTACGGTATACGATCAGTGCTTTCGTTTCCAATTTCCAGGAAAGCCATCAAAGGAACACTTATACTATCACCGTTGCTTGGAGTGATTTATCTGTTAATATTCTTTATACCACCAAATCCACCAGTCTGGTATCAATATTTCTTACGGGTTGTCTACCCAATGCAGGTACGATATTTTGGTTTTCAGTAATAAAAAATGGAAGCCATATAATTTTAATGAAATATCTTCTCGGGTATATTATTGTCACCCAAACGTTAGAAAGCTTTGTTACACAGTTACCTAGCTATCATTCAAAGGCTTTCAGCAACTATGGAAGGTGGGGGGGGGGGCGTTGCCCTCTCCTTGGTTCTTTTAGTGTCCGCCACTGAGATCAAAACTTCAATTGTTGTTCTTAATTTCTTAGGGTACCTTGGCTTGTCTGGTTTACATCACATTTAGTGGTGAACTACTAAACAAGGCGAAATCCAAATATAGATCATCCTTTCGAAGGACGACACGCATACTGGAAAATGTAAGTAAGTTTCTTTAAAAATGTTTATTTTCTGTTCACATGTTTCATTACTGTGCGTTAGGTGAATGGTTTCGTAAACGAAATAGCCGGAAATACAAAGAAAGCCATTTTCCTATTTTTAATGAATAAAATTACTAGCTTGTAAATACTGTTTTGTTTCCAGCAATTACGGGAGCTGTAATACAAATTCTTTTAAAACTTGATTTTTTCTGTGTTAGTGTTGTGTACTCAGGTGAATATGACATTTGTGATGTTACTCTGAGTGTATATCCACACCGGGCGAGTTGAAAAATATGCCCGACCACGGTGGGATTCGAACCTACGACCTTTGGAATACTAGTCCAATGCTCTTCCAACTGAGCTACGCGGTCAGGACGGTTCGAGTAAGTGATATTTCAGAACAGAATCTAGTTCCTTCGATACCAATGTAATCTAGTAATTTGATTTTTTCTGTGTTGGTGTTGTGTACTCAGGTGAATATGATATTTGTGATGTTACTCTGAGTGTATATCCACACCGGGCGAGCTTGAAAAATATGCCCGGCCACGTTGGGATTCGAACCTACGACCTTTGGAATACTAGAAATATCACTTACTCGAACCGTCCTGACCGCGTAGCTCAGTTGGAAGAGCATTGGACTAATATTCCAAAGGTCGTAGGTTCGAATCCCACCGTGGCCGGACATGTTTTAAAACTATTTTCGTTATTTTTTGGTCAACAACTGATGCCGGTGAATAATTGTAATCCTTGCACTATTCATAGTAGCCATAGTAGACGTTGTAGTTCTTACGCCAAGCGACGAAACTGTGAGCAGGCTATATTCATAGCTCATATAACCCAAATTTTCAAATGCATAATTTGTGCAAAGCAAAATGGAGGGTGTAAAAATCACTAAAAATAACTCTTTAATTAGCCTACATTAACTCTTCACTCGAAAAATTTTGGGGGACATACTGTATTTGTTGGATTTCTATTAATTTTAAAAACTGTACATGCAACTCAGATATGTACTTGTTTTGTATTTAATTCAATAAAAATCGATAACGTTGATTTATTTTGGTGAAAGATGGAATTTTTTATTCCACTCGGCTGTCGCCTCGTGAATGGAAAATTCCATATTTCACCTCTTACTTTTACCATTGCACTCATAAACATTCATTATTTGTATGAAACCAATTATTGTTTTCTAATTTTTTAGGGTTATTCGTGGAGTTTTAGTACTCGCTCACGAAACACAGAGAGAACAATGAGAGTTAATTCTTCTCCCGACCCATCAATTGATCCTAGTGGTCTGTCTCATTCCTCCCCACCATGCGACAATGGTCCAAAATGTGGATGTCCTGACTCGGCTGTCCTCAGGAGGATCAAGCAGACTAGCGATGACGAAGAAGAAGAAAACAGTTTTTAATTTCCAAAATTTAACGTGTGGATGAAAAATCAGGCCCAGTCAGGGAGGTAGTTGCATCCCTACCTACACTGGCACAGATCGTTCAGGATAACACCAGTATATACTCGATAATACTGAATCACTATATCAATATACCCAAAGTTCCAGGCTATGTCTGTCCAGTGGCGGAAATTCACTTTTTCCGGTGGGTGGCGAAGCCTTCTAAATTTCCGACAAAACTTTCAAATTTCCGACAACCCCCCCCCCCATTTGCACTCGAAAAGGCTGTTTTTAGCCCTTTTATAGGTCAAAATTTCCGAAAATTCGTCATTTTCCACGAAGGTGGGGGGGGGGGGGCGCCCCACCGAGATTTCCGCCACTGTGTCTGTCTGTCTGAGTCCTTAATCTTGGGCAAATGTATAATACTGTTTCAACTTATTTTAACAATAAAGTACTGTATGGCAAAGATAAAATGGGCTAAATGCCAATAGACCTGAAACCCCTGGCCGGGCCTGAAAAAAGTGATTAGTTTGCACATTTTAATTTAATTGTACTTCAGGCATGAAGATGAATTCGTTAGATGGCCTCTGTCTTAAGAATTAAAGTGTTACCTCAGCAGACATGCCTACACCGAGATGATCCTTTATAGTGACAGACTTCTTGTCGTAGAGTAGAGTAGAGTAGAGTAGAGTAGAGTAGAGTCATTATGTATGATGTCATTTTGTATGATGTCATGATGTATGATGTCATGAAAGAGGACCCAGGAAGAGAATTTTGTCAGGCGTAAGATTAATCGCACAAATAAGTAGTTGGCATTAGAAACATGCCGTCGATACTAAAATCATCAGATTGTATAAACTCTTATACGACCAAGAAATTATAGGGAATTTTTGCAACTTTATGCATGTATAATTTGCATATTTTGTGTAAACAAATATACCTTTCCGGGAAGTATGTTGTTGGCTATAGAGCCTCGTTTTCATGTATGTAACGTTAGTTTTAAAGCTCGACGTTTTAATACTAACGAAAACGAAGTGTGTATTAATTGAGAAAAGTAATATTTATATAAATGAGTACATTAAATTAAATAGAATTATTACAGATTGTTGTGGTTTTTTGTCTTTCACTCTCATTAGAACGATCTACTTAATAAGTTCTGATGACGCTGTTTGTTATGCCGTTTCTTTAATTAGAATTATGTACATGGACATATATATGGTATAGTTTTGCTTACCTCGAAATTGCCACTACAGTCAGCTGTTTCATCCAGCGAAAAACAGAGTGTATAGTGACACACTGACACTCTTGAGGTAAGCAAAAATATCACTCAAACTCTTTCTAGCATTTACACTCAATGTCGAGTCAATGATGTACGCCAGCTACTGAATCGTCCTTAGTCGTCTAAAGTAGACGCACACCTTCAGATTGAGGTACATATAGTACTGCACTTACAAAAGCGCCAAGCTGGAAATGAAAGAAATCACGCGCGGAGAAACTGGGGCGGCTGCAAAGGAAGAGAACGCGCATTTTCAGGTTTTCCTTTAATAAAAACCCAAGAGATGACTGGGATATCCGTTTTCAGCTTCCGATTTTGTAAGTGCTGTACTATGACTGTAATTACCTTAATCCGAAGGTGTGCGTCTACTTTCAGGCTTTCATGAAAAAACCAAAGAGACGACTGGCGACGAGTCAGCTCTAGCTACGCAGGCTACAACCTCGTACCCAGGATCTTCAGAAGGAGAGACCTTGGGAACGAGGTTGCGCAGGCTACTGCGCATGCGGAGGTCAGGAGAGTAGCTGACTCGTCCCCAGTCATCTCTTTACAGTATCACTGAGGTGGACATTTGTGTTACAAAGCGCTGGCGGCAGACACGAAAGACGGCAAGGGCATGCAGGCCACCGCGCCCTTGCCGCCGCGTGCGTAGTCAGTGAGCTATATAGTATATATCTGGAGTATCTCACATTTATGACTCAAGGGTATGCTTTATTCATAGAAATTACATATCTATTATATCTACGGCTTTATTTAAACATAGTATATAATTATTGTTTGTAACATTTAATTAAAGTTGTTTGCATAACAATGTCCTCAGTGATACTGTATTAAAAGAGACAGTGGGGGATGAGTCAGAGAGTGTAGACGTTAGTCTAGAGGTGTGGATCGGATTGGACGTTTATAATCCGACAATTGCCTAATTTTAAAATCCGATCCGAAATTGTCGAATCCGATCCGAGTTTTGATAAAGAATTCCGATCCGAAGAATTCTTTAATAAAATAAATTTCTCATTCAAGTTGAAATATTTAACCAAATAAATATAAAAGCAAGAAATACATGTCAAGAAGCTGACAAAGTGACGTCCATGCAATTAAAGTATCAAACGAATAATGCAGCGACAACCGCGATAATGCTTTGATAAATGCATGGATAATTAATTCTTGCGATAATGCGTAGTAGTACTGTTGTAGTAGTTGTAGTAGTATAGTTGTAGTAGAACTATATTCATCCACGCTGACCCCGTCAACCGTAGCTGATTTCCACGGAGGTCGTGTGCCAGAAAATTATTTTACATGCAGAATATGATAATGATAAGCTAAGCTATTTACAGTAATATATAAATTTAAAAGATGTAACAAATGTTTTGAGCTACTTACAGGTAAATTATATTTACAAAGGTTACCAAGCACTAATGTGAGCAGCGATTTTATTTCGAAAGGAAGAAAGTGACTTGCTTTCCCTAATTTCTTTTGGTATATATAGAATTCCAAATGTTTGCTCCGTCATACATAAAACTATTTTTCATGCTATTTGTACGTGGTTTTGGTAAAAAAAGACCACTTGACTCTTGAGACATCCCGAAGGTGGTAATTAGTTTTCTCACTCTTAAACGAAAATAGATTTGTGAGCGATTTTGGGCCCATTTTGTTTAATAACTTATACATCATTCTTGCTTTAGTGTTCTTCCTTTCAGTTTGGAGTGGCTCCCAGCCCGAAGTACGTAAAGCAATCGTATAATCTACGTCATTGCTTATATTCAGAATAATTCTTGCCGCTCTATTTTGCAATCGTTTTGATTGAGTTTCACCAAATACATCCCATACTTCACAGCAGTAGTCAAAGTACGGACGAACAATAGTGTTATATATCAAAATAAGTGTATCTTGATCAACAAATGGTTTGATCCGACGAATAGCAGAGATTCCTGCTGTAACTTTTTTGCAAATATTTTCGGTAT